CTTGAAATCATGCTTCAGCCTGAAGCCGTTTCGGATTTCTGCTTAACACGGCAAGCAACAGCATCATTTTAGCGTTTCCTGTTTTTCAGTTTTTACAGCTTTAGTTTTCTAGACTCCAGGCTGACACCACTCTCTTAAAAGAGGAAAGAATCCTATTTAGAACATTTTTCCTTTTCATGGAACTTGACCTGAACTGTTTTAGCCTGCTGCACTTAGAGCACAAAAGAAAGCAAACCACATGGCAGTTTCAGCTGTTACAGGGTGGGAAACTGTTAGAGGGGCATTTCTTTCATCTAACCCAGAAGCTCTTAAACACAGATCACAGTATTCCAGAACTCATTTTTGCTTCTGGTGCCATGCCCCTGGATAACTAACAGAATAACCACTGCTACAATGAAAACTTGTCTTTCTTGCTTGAGGGAGAACTTTGGCAGCTTGCAGCACAGAGCAGGGAAGCACAAGAACTTACAGCCAGAATTTTAAAGAGCTTCCTTTTGTACGTAATGAAATTCTGTGCACATCTGTACAGCTTTTTTGAGGCAGAGTCATGTTTATTCTGCCTACACTGTACAGCAGAAGCAACGTATCTGTAGTGCAGACCCAGCCCAAGCCAGCATACTGTGCTAAGCTCTTTCTATGAGTGGTGATGAGATTCAGTCTTCAGCAACTACTGCCTATATGTATTTCACGCCAACTTGTGAGCAGCCTTTAGTCACACAAGCAAGAGGGCATTTTCAGTCATCAGTTCCACAGTCTCAGAAAACCATGCAGCATTACAATAAAGCAAGCCTGGAGAGCAAGGGGCAAAGACCAACACAACATTATTTTTACATTAAATTCAGCTATTCTTCAGGGTCTCAGTCAGGAAGATAAAACCAATGCTTGATTTTCCAAGTCTTCTATCCAAGGCACATTATGGATTCTAAGCTCTAATAGACTCATATTGCCCCTTACGGCTTACTCGGTGTGCCAAATCATGTTTTCACATGTCACTTCCCGGATTTAAAGAATATCACTACCCGATCCAGCTTTTGCCTTTCAAGGCACTAATTTTTAGAGTCATCTCACTTTATCTGTTAGTCCTATCGGTCCATTTTATTAAGCTATGGCACCTCACCACATACCTAGATGAACAACTTTAGGAACAAAGCCAGTACCCTATTTATTCACTGCTCTAAACTGAATCCTTGTATCTATAATATGAATCATCAGTTATCATATGGTGTTATCTGTTCATGTTTTCACATGCAGATATTTTTACATAAGAAAGACTGAGTCTACAGAAGATCTTGCATAGTTTAAACTAGTTCCAGCCATATGCCAACCCTCAAACAACACCTACTCCTCCAACCTATGCTGTGATGAATTTGCATAGTATTTCACTTGTACTGGGGCATCCCCTGAATGATTTGAAAGTGGTCCTTTTGAATTCAAGAGCTTACAAGCAATCTTTCCATACTTTGTCTGCTCAGCACACAAAAAAAGGCTGAAAAATCCAGACATAATGGCAATCCAGAACATGAGAAACCAACCAATTTTTCACTTCTTTAAGTCATTTAGGATTCAGTCATCTGGATTTTCCTGGAGCTAAGTGAAATTTTTTAGCCAGATCACTCTGACTGTCCTGTGACCAAAAAGGTAAGCCTACAAAATGACCAGGTCACCTTGGTTAGCTCTAAAGATAAACATCCCCATGAAAGCACAAGCAGATTACTACTAGAATCAGTCTGTCAACCAAATCTGAGCATTCTTGCAAACAGATTTTTTCATGATCACATGCACTCACTATATTAAATGTAACCAGCTGCAAGCCCACCTCCTCGTTGATTTTCCTTGACATTTATTCCCAGGCAGCGCCAGCTGCAGAAGACAGCTGCCTACTTCTCCCACTGAACTGCAGCAGCAGTGGATTTTCTGCAGCCCGATTACTTCTAGTAAGCACAGGACATCATTATCTGCAGCAGCATTGTTACAAACCAAGCTAGGATAAAAATTGTTGCCTTCCGCTGCCACTGAACTTCCACGGCATTGTCATTAGACCGGAATAATGACACATGACAAGATCTAATTCAATAACAGAAAATTAAAAGCATAGGCTATTAACAACGTAGCCACAAACGTGAGCTGTTTATAATCCATCTACATACAATTTAGAGGTAACATAAACCAGCCAAGAGCCAAGGATAAATCTGTGAAGGTGCTTCACAGCCGCCATGCTTCCCCCATGTACCCAGTCATTTATGTGTGGGCCTATACCCTAAGAACAACTGTCTGAAAAACATCAGACCACCTCCTGATTGACGCTGTATTTGCAAGATATACCAGGAAGATATGCCAGTCATTTATGTGTGGGCCTATACCCTAAGAACAACTGTCTGAAAAACATCAGACCACCTCCTGATTGACGCTGTATTTGCAAGATATACCAGGAAGATATGCACACATTTCTTTCCTCCTTGTACATCCTAAAGCATAGACGATTGTAAAACATTGCAACATTTCCACTAACGCACAGGTAGTCAGTCGCTCCACACCTCAGAACAGTTTTGTTCCACTCAGACTATTCAATAACCACTTCCCAATTTACACAATACAAGGACCTGATCCCAGAGAGTTAATGCTTAGCTTACCTTACCAAGTGACTCATTATATCAGGTTTAAGATAACTACCCATGAGAATAAGATTTGCGGCTGTGAACAGATGTTTAGTGATAGCAGTCTATTAAGATACTAGGAAAATTCACTATACAGGAATAATCAGCGGGAAAAGTTTATGAAGTCAAGCTGTTAGAAGCCGTTTCTTAAAGCAGGTGAGGACATTTTTCATAGATTTATGGAAGTGGCTGCATTTAAGCCAGTTCATTGTCAATCCTTGACCAGTTGTTGTCACCTAAAGAGAATTTTATTGAACTACAGTATATAAAGTTATTTTACAAAGTCAGTAACAAAGACAGCATTACTCATGTACCAGCCTTTATGCTCACATTCAAAGTTGTTGTCAGAAACCTAGTGGGCATCTCAGTGAGAAGATGCGGTCATTAGCTTTTTAAGATCATATTTGAAAAGAACCCATAGAAAGAAACAGACCCCCAAATAAAGAGAAAAAGCCATCCAAAGCTTTCAGAGAAGACCCAAGCTCAGCAGTGCGATGCTCCTGCCCACCCGGGGAGCTGCTCGCCACCTCTCCTCCCACGTGGAGCCACGGGCTGACACAGACCACTGCCCACGGGCGACGCCGGTTACGGAAAAAGACGATTCTTTCCCTTTTCTCTGCGGGGTAAGGGCAGGAAGGAGGAAGGCTGTTACCCAGCAGCAGGATGGAGAAGATCCACTGCAGCACGGCGACTGTCTGGATCCTCCGCTTAAGGGGGACGTTGAGCGGGGCAAACTGGATCTTCATGCTGACGGCCGGAGAGCAGCGCGGGGAGGCACGGCCCCGCC